AACACACTCATTGACCCCTTGTGTCACAAATATACGTCTGAAATCGACGTCTCTAGTGTATAATATACGTCTTAAGAATTGTAAGCGGATCAATACAAAGCACATTTATTATTTTAGTGAGAACTCATGTTATATGTGTCTTTCTTCAACTAAGGGACAACCTTTTCATGGGGGAAAAATCTCAAACTTTCGTATTTGTAAATTTAGAGGGAAAAAGCGTATGACTTGGACATTCAATATTAATTTAGATCGTAACAAATAAATACAAAATGGCAGGAAAATTATTTTTTACTATCCTCGATAAGAGAGAACGTGGGGGCCACCAAAATTCAGGGATTCCAATTCAACTTACAACTATATTTTCTGAGATTAAGTGTTTTTCATGATCATCGGAATTGTGTTTATAATATTTTAAAGTTTCGCTCTAAATAAGCAATATCTGAGCAAAATGGCGACGACAGCTGATGTTAACATTATAGGGCTGGGGCGTTTTGAATTTGATTTCATGGGGAACAAATAATATTTGCCTGGCTTTTGTTTTTGGTAAATTCGTTAGAATTCGGCTGCTTTTGATGTTGTTTAACACAAAATTCAACTGCTCTCTAGACCCCCACCCCACCCCCTCCTCTTTTATCCGTAACTGCTGAAATGTAGCGTGTAAATGGTTGCTCTCATGGTCTAGTAATTTTTTACAACCATGCTAGTAGTTATTAGTGTTAATTGTGTAGCATCATCAGCATTCCTGTGGTCGCAAATTAAATTTAGTACAGCAGTGTTATTTCCCTTTTTCAATTGCTCGCAATAGTTCCTTAATCGTCATTATGTCTACTTCATATTCTACGCTGCAGAACACCTATAATGTAAATGATTAAGCGTAGACGAGTTTAAGGCTAGTTAAAGGTTAATGCTAGAAAACCGATTAACGTTGAGTATAATTTGTAATTAGCCAGATGTAAAAAAAATAGTGAATGTATATTGTAAGGTGTATTATTTTTTTTTGTAACTGATAATTTATGCGTTTTATATGCTGCCGAGAAACACTACTAAAACAGTCTCGTGAAAATTCAAACAATATGTATGTAATACCGATTACATATTTTATTTTTCCAGTTAAAACACTTTCATTGACTATGAAATGTATTGCTGATATAAACAACTCCAAGACTTTTGGGTTAATATTTACTTTAATACAATATTTACTATAATACAATATTTATTTTAATACAATATTTACTTTAATACAATATTTATTTTAATAAAATATTTAATTTAATACAATATTTACTTTAATATAATATTTATTTTAATTTAATATTTACTTTAATACAATATTTATTTTAATACAATATTTACTTTAATACAATATTTACTTTAATACACTATTTACTTTAATACAATATTTATATTAATACAATATTTATTTTAATACAATATTTACTTTAATACAATATTTATTTTAATAAAATATTTAATTTAATACAATATTTACTTTAATATAATATTTATTTTAATTTAATATTTACTTTAATACAATATTTATTTTAATACAATATTTACTTTAATACAATATTTACTTTAATACACTATTTACTTTAATACAATATTTATATTAATACAATATTTATTTTAATACAATATTTACTTTAATACAATATTTACTTTAATACACTATTTACTTTAATACAATATTTACTTTAATACAATATTTATTTTAATACAATGATTACTTTAATACAATATTTATTTTAAGGCCAGACACCACACATGTTTCGACAGTTTACATTTTTTTCTACTAGTATGGAATTAACACTAATTCTGACAGTAACACCATTTAGCTATCTAACCTTAACGTTTCCAACCTCTACAGCCACCGGTAATCCGTTTATTGCGATGTGAAACATGGTACCCCCCCACCCCAATCAAATTTTTACACTACTACGCGGACAGCGGCTATCTTCGAGCGTGTGTTACGTGTTTTGTTGCCCACGAGGCAACGTAAAGTATACGGCAACCTATCGACCAAGCACTCGTGTACACGCTGGTGTAGCGACCTTTATTTTGTTCTACAAATAAGTGGGATAAACGTCGTTTTCTACCTAAGTTAAATTTGATGTCAAACTCCATATAAGGGCATGCGAGTAAAAATAATGAATGGGAAGAGATTCATTGATACGTTTGACCAATCATACAATAGTACATTAAATCAAAATAATCTACGATAGGTTGCAACTAACCTCGTGTGCTAGACAGCCATCTTGTTTCTAGATAAACAAAACAATCGCCTGTCTCGTTTGTTTACTTCATTTGCGTTTACTCCTTTATTTGTTGTTTTAAAGTTATACAACAACATTACGTTTAATAATTGAACTTTGCCTAGGAATGTACTGTTGATTGTCACTGGAACAATATCAAACACTGTTTCGTACGCTTTATACTAAGCTGAAACATTGCGTCATGGACATTATCAGTTTGTAGAATGTACTGTCCATCCCCTTTAACCCCTCATCTTCTTCTCGCCATTCAACCAACGGCCGGTTTATAATCTTGTTACAGCATGCTGTGATAGGCTTGAACGCGTTCATTAGGCTTTACACCGGACTGTATACGACACATGTGTTAATGTGTATGTCCATGTCTCCGTATATGGTGTGCTAGCAACGAATGTAAATACTAGATGGGATAGCTGATAAGCATTCACTACAGATGTGTTTTTCGCGGTTGAATGAACATTGGTAATCTATGGCTCATCGGTTCTTCACGCACTATCCAGCGGTGGGGTGGGGTGGAGGGGCGTGTCTAGCCTCAAGAGTTGTACACAGTGTTGTGTAGTAGGCTATTATCATAAAAGCAATAAACTTGTGTAAGCTACAATTTAAGTAGGGAAAGATATTGTACTGAAGTGAGAAGACTGGCTAACAAACAAAACTTGATCTGGTTTGATGATAGCTGTTCTGAAAATACCGCTCGATTGATAGGATGTGTAATACTTAATAGTCACACATTCATTACCTGTTGTATGCATATTTTCTGCTTACATAGGAAAACTTACAACATAAATCAAAGCGTATTTTATTAGTCAAATGCTTCTTCCACTTATAACAAGACGTTTTTTCTGTTTTCTATATGAGAAAACGCATAGTCCCCTTTTCCGCTCTTCTTTTCACGTTTTCTCAACTTTGCATTTTTACTAAAAATTCAACATTCAAATCGCTAAGACTTTAGAACCCTTTGTCATACAAGACTAAAACATTTCACGTGCATTTTGCATTATACCATCTACAAAACTACGTTTGTACATTAAGTTTACTACAATACTTTAGGAAATATTGATATTTATGTAGCACCACCCCCTAATTTTTGCACATAAATTGACGTACAAATTTGTATTGAAAATTAAGTACAAGCTTTCGCAATGAGTAAACGTAGAAATGTATAGTTTGGTTTGAGAAATCTAAATTTTTCATCCGCTTTTAAAAATCTCTTATGGGAACAAAGTTATAGCACTTTGAAAAGATGTTGGTTATCACACCTTTTCGCGGTTTCCATGGCAACCAGTACTGCTAGTGACGGCTATATATTATTTTTGTCTGTAGTTTAACAACTATGAACATATGAACTTATTAAACACCCAGAAATGTGTTAAATAAAAAAAAATTATATCCGTGGTGCCTATCCTTAAAATACAAACAACACGAAGCTAATACAGGTTTACTCAAAAAAAAAGAACTAAATTTGATGGAACAAAAAATAATTAAACGGTGAATGCTGTAAAAAAATGTACTATGCACTTGGTGCCTATAAGAATTGATGGTACTCAGGGACAATCTACGTTTACGTTTTATTTTGAACTGGGTCTTCGAAGTACTAAGATCGTTATTATGTATTTGAAAGTAAGTGTGGGTGTTAATGGGGGGGGGGTAGATACATGGGATTTAATTGACATTTAGTAATTAACAATAAGTTATACATCCGTTCGCAATCACAGTAAAATAATGACAGGGTGCTTATTGACAGTGGAGTAAAGCTCTGGTCCCGTTATATGACGAACAGAACATTGGAGCGAGTCTATTAAAAGGTTATAAATTGTAGTAAAGCACATTGTAATATTAAAAAAAACGGCCAATATTAAATAGTTTTTAAAATCAATTCGAAAAAACGGGTCATCTTTAATTACAAGCGTTAACTGGGTGGATAGACCTGATCAATTTAAATTACCCAACATAGTTATTCTTCTATATGTATTAAAATTAGTTGTAAGAAATTATGAGTTTCACATTTCACATCCTAACAGTATTTAATAACAACAGATGAAATGACTCGGAGAATAGAATACAGTTATAAATATTGAATTATATTTTGAAAATTTTTCCATGTATAACTAAAAAGATTGAAATGGGTTCAATTATTGAAAATTTGAAGAAATGAATTGTGCGTGTCGTTTTCTCTGTTTTATGATAACTATCTTTTAAAAATGTGCACACAGGTATACAACTGGAGCTATAATGTTTTAAAATATTTTTAAAAGTTTAATTGTATTTCACGAAACCAATTTTTGAAAATTTGAATACAATATTTCTAGAGTGTTTTCTGTTACAAAAAATTAGCACGCTGATTTTCTTTTAGAGCTGGTGAAAGAAGGCTCGTTGAATTTATAATCAATATAATGATAGTTTTTTAACTTTGATACGTCCACAAAAGGCTGTTTTCTAATATGGCCGCTATTGCTATGGTAACCATACTTTTAAAAAAAAGTCCCACATATATGATAATATTTTTCTTTATGTATCCGAAGTAAAGCTTATTAGTTAAGAAGTTTATTTTCTTTAGCCATTCCCCTTAAAAGCTATACGATCGTAAAAATTGAATTACATTAACAATACACTTACACTACGGAATTCGATCAAGGAAAACTCTATAAAAATTAACATTAAACACATGCTTAATATTTTCCAAGTCAAAATGTACATTACAAAATTGAGCTTGATATGGTATAGTTGGATTTACTGTCGTGGACTTTCCTCCCTATCAAAAGCTCTCAAGTACAATTCCAGGACTCTCTTGTTACAGACGCAAGATACGAACAGAAACACACCCTGCAGGCCGTTTAGAAGAATAGAAACATATCTGAAATTTTATAAAATCTTTGGTTATTAAGTCAGCATGTTTAAAGTTAAAAAGGAATGGAATCAATTAAAAATAAACCGGGAGTGATCTCCCCTAAACTTTCTCGAATATTCTTATATAAAACAACAGGGGATGGGAACTCGGGATATAGTTATGATTTTTAATCAATTTTAAATACTTAAACTTTTTAAAATAGAATAGAAGCTCATAGAAAAAAGAATTGCGCACCAAGCGTTTAGAAGAATAGAAAAATATCTGAAATTTTATAAAATCTTTGGTTATTAAGTCAGCATGTTTAAAGTTAAAAAGGAATGGAATCAATTAAAAAAAATGAATGCAGTCTTTACATTTAAAAAAAATCATAATTAAAAATTTAAGCATTGAGCATTAAAACAGCATTACAAAAGAAGTCACCTCAACCAAACCGAGTCCAAAGCTTCAGAGATGATGGCAAGCGTCCAGAAAACTCCGGTAAGTGTAGACAACTTGGCGTAGATAAAAACACATTTGGCGAGGTCAGTGTTCCTACCGTCAGACGAGTGTTGCTGACGGAATGATTGGATCTTGACGATGGTTATAATCAGGAAAATAAGGTCCAGTGTGATAACGACAGCCATCGGTGCGATCATTGAGACTCCTATATTTTATATAAAATTAAGTTAAAATAACATAAATAAAACACTCAATAACTATTCGAATAATAAATCAACTATAATAAACACAAAGTCAACAGCTCAGATGAGCTGGACTGCTAACCCGTAAGTCTCGAGTTCGAATCCGGGTTCAAGTTAGTAGACCGTCCATGAGTTCACCCAACTATGATGGGTACCTAACTCAAGTTAGGGAAAGTAAAGGTGGCTGGGCATAGTGTTGTATCTCTTCATATGCCGAGGTCACAGAAACAAGTGAACTCTACTTCACTTGCCCTATAGACCGTCAGGTTTTAAAGGATACTTTACAGATGAGCATAATTATTAACAAACGTTTTATTGTAATTTAAAATAAAAAAAATAAAAAAAATAAATAAAAGCAAATTGTTGTTATCGTTAAAATGTTAATTTCAATATTTGAAAAAAAAATTACAAGAGTTAACGAATATTATGATTTTAACAGAAAAATAATAATTAACAATAAACTACATTTAAATTGAAAAGCTCGGTCCAGCTTAAGTAATACTATTTCGTTGTTATTTATTTAATTTTATATTCCCTTTACATATAACTAAGGTGAACTATACTTCACCTGATATATTAAGTATGTTAAACTTTATAAATGATATGTCATTGCCATATTCCACCCTTCGCTATTCTTTATCTTCAAAAAGCTTTCAATAAGTCATACGAACCCTTATATTAATTTCAATTTCAAAGTATGCCAGTAACGTCAAATGGTAAAGTAAAAATGGAAATAGGCAGTTAAAATAATTATTTTGATTTATTTTATTAAAGAAAAAAATAAATTGACATGCTTAAATCAATTTACCAACGAGAAAAGCATTGTCCAAGTAACAATAACTTTCACCATAGCCTGTAGTTTTTCCGCTCGATGACACAAAACTTGTTACAACTACCGTCACACAGACAGCGGCAGGGAATAAAAGGGAAGTAATAAATAGTTTAATAAAATGTATGTTCATCTCCCTTGGTGTCTGAGGAAACCTTGATGATCCCGACGTGAAGGCTTTGAATATTTGATAACTACAGATCAGTGTCCATGTAAACATCCACAGCCACAAAAAGTGGGTCGTTATGCCTAGAGCCGTACAGAGAAGACTTGGACCTCGACTTCTGCTGAAAAAAAAATTGATATCAACTCGAATGTTCATTCTACATATTGGAATATATATATATATATATATATATATATATATATATATATATATATATATATATATATATATATATATATATATATATATATCTTATATATATATATATATATATATATATGACCTAAGTATAGAAGTGGATAGCTAGGGCAACACTATACCCAGACGCAATTGTTTCCCTAGAGTGAGTTAGACTTTTGTGTTAGCAATCGTTAGTTCTAACATCCACATAAATCTTCCACGTCTAAGTATAGTTATTAACTTTTTATCATAAGCATAAGTATGTGTCGTCGTATACAAAACCTAACTGTAAAAGATGCGAACTTCTATCATTTAATTACCATAAGAAATAAATGTATTTAACTTACTCATAAGCACTAGCTAATAGAGAGCACTGAGCCAACAAAATAGTGACAGCCAACATCACATTGTTTTTTCCAGCTTTCCCTAACAGAACAGGAAACTTGATGTATGTTATAATAGTTATCAGCAGACAAACCATGGACGCCCCCATACAAGCCAATGTAAGGTTATACTCGATGTTTTCCATCAGGGTCAGCATCGCGAACTTTTTCGCTTGAAGATCGGATTGTTGTTGTAGAAGTGTGTCCAAAAGCTCATTACAAACGTGAAGCACATCATCACTCCCTATGTCCACTTTGGTGAGATCTGAGTAGTCTGATATTTGAAGTGTGGTCACCTTCAGGTTTAGGGTTATAACAAAACGTGGAGGGATAACCTCATCATGGATCTCAATGTTGTACTCAGACTTGTTGAATGATATGATTGGGCATCGTAATAGATAAGAGAAATTCACGTATGATGCTGCTAAAGCCACGGCATCGAATTCGATATTATATAATTCAGAGTTTTTTATTTCCGTTTTAACGTTTTCTAAAGACAACAAGTTGTTAAGAAATATATAATTACTGACTTTGCCTGGTAAAGTAAAGCTTGAGTATGTCCGAAAACCTGATTCTGTTTCAATTTCAATGCTGGATAAAACAGCTAACAACTGGTTTTCTAATTCATCTCTGTTTTTCTTGCATGTTGCAATAAAATAGCTGGTGACATGGAATATAATCTCTCTGTTATCATTATTTGAGTCGTTCACTGGATTGAAACTTATTAATGTAGTTTCTAAAGTGTTTCGTTCGCTCAATCGATCGATTAATTTTTGTATCTGAAAGCAAATAAATAAAAAACAAATAAATGAAAAGAAATGCATGCACTCAATTGAACAATAACAACAAAATATGTTCTTGAGTGAAAAGCCTTTTGTCGTATCTCCTATGGTCAAAGCTCCTGTGTTCAATGCTGAAATGGACACAGCTTCAAGGACCGTTTTAATAGACTGGACGGTTGTGGGCAGCACCGTTAGGGATCATTAATTTATGACGTCCACGCATTTTTTGGATTAGGACCCCCCCCCCTATCCACAAAAGTCCACTTAATGCCCTTTTAAAAGTCCACACGCGTCCGCAAAAGCACATTTTTTTCTGACCCCCCCTTCTCCTGTGGACGTCATAAATGTATGACCCCTTAAGAAGATGATCTCAAGTTCGGACATCAGCCTGCCCGTGTAATGGGCATCCTAATGTTTAAAATATACCATCAGATACCAAGCTAACAGAAACGGATGGACTTAATTTTTTCTGCACCACGGACCACCGGGTTAGAAATGTTAGTTTTACATTAGCTTGTCTACAACTCTCTTTTAACCCTCATTTTTCATACTTTTTTGTTTTGTTCTAAAAATGCAGTTGAATCTCATTATAAATCTTAATCGCAATTCATTATTGCTTTTGCAATACAAAGTAAAAGATATAATTAGCATACCTACCACATTGTGAAAATTATTGATGATATTCAGTGTAGTATCATGTTTTAATTCGACGCTTTTACTTGCCGTATTTGGTATAAACCAAAATTCTAAACCATAATGAAGGCAACCCATTCCTCGTATTTTAGAAACACAAGTTCCATTAAAAAGAGTTTTACCTGGAGTGCACTCAGTAGGGACACATCTACCCTGAATAAGAAAAATTGTTATACTAAATGAAATCGACGTTTTACGAAGTGAAGACTCATAATTTAAGAAGCATAATTAAATTACAATTTTACACAACTTGTTTATGATAACTGCAAAAACACTGAGCTAAAATCTAACAAACGTAATAAGTAGGAGTATAAATTGAGTTTCACAGAACAAAATTGCTTTAACCTACCACTACACAATAAAAACAACAAAACAATGATATCTGTAAAAACAAACGTGTGATAATGCAAGCGCAATGCAACCAAATAAAACATTAACTCAGCAAAAGACTCATCTATCATCACCCATTAAACTGATTAAACAATACATTTGATTAGTATCGTGAGTCTAATAAAAGAATTAATGAAAATAAACATGACACCAAAATGTATTTGCTCAAAACTTAAAATGTCTTTAAATTCGCGTATCGTTTACAGGCGCAAGAAACCCTCAGTTGTATAATGATTTTTCTCTTCACGAAATATGAAACAATTAAAATGTATTTAAAAAGGTTGTATTTTACTGTGTTTGTATTTTTTTTTCTAAAAACATAAATAAAAATACGAAGTACTTGGTTTAATGAATCTCTTATGAATTCAAACAAATAAAACCCAACTGGTTTTAATTAATATAGGTTGTCGCTTGACATACTTATTTCTTTAACCGTCATCATGGTAATGATGATTGCCGAAAACAACGATACAGTGATTCCGTGTTTTTAAAACAATGATTGATCGCAATTTCAGAAATATATACTAATAATTGGTTTTTTGTTGCGTATTATTCAACAATACCAATCTAATTTTAACAATGGACGATTAATGTTTAATGCAAGCGTGCCTTTTGTAAAATTTGTGTCTAGTCGCTGAGAATATCGAAAAGAATATAATAAAAGTAAGCAAAACGTGAATTGCTTTGTTTAATAGTGTTGTAAACTTATTCAACCATATTGTAAACTAGAGAATATTATTTATTGCGTCCTAACAAAATAATTTCTAAATTAAAAAAAAAAGCATGTAGGATAAAACCAAACATAAAAAAAATAACTTGATCAATACAACAGCTAACTGAGTCAGCCCATTTTTTCCGCCGTGTATTTGAATCGGAAGAAATAGAGCAGACGACACATTTATGCTAAATGGCGGTAAACGGTCAAGCGCGTCACAACAACAATCATTAAAAACTAGCCCACGGTATCACTGAGTTTCAGTAATATTATTGTAGCCGTTCACAACTCATTTTCGTGGCTACAGATTAAATTTAATGGAATTGGTATCAAATTAAAGGTAAGTAAATGTAGTTTCTAATTGTTCAAGTCATCTTGAACAATAACGACGTTTAAAATCGTACGCAATACCATCAACTAATACATGTAATATTATTAAAAAATTAAAAAAAAATTTTATACGAAACAATCGAAGAGAAACAAAATGGTTAGTAATTTTTTACTTACAGTTGGGTGTGCCCATTCTGAGATCGTGCAGTTAACCCTTTGAAGTTCGTTGAACATTTTGTTACGCTGAGATGTTAATTGTGAAGCTTGTCTCCTTCCAAAGTCGACCAGCAGGGAATAAAGTGGGATTTCAAACTCTACTGCTATTTCATTTTTTGGTAAGATGCAGGCATATTTACTTGATAAACTGTTGAAAAGGCACATTAAAACGATCAAAATAATTGTTTGCTTTTGTTTTAAATCAATGTAAACATATGTTACTTAATTTTTATCATTTCTATTAGGATCACAAAAATAT